CTTGTTGCCATTCAGCCCAAATTTCGGGCATTTCAGCTCGGACCATAGGTCTCGTTCCAGAAAAACGTATAGAAAAATGGCTTCTTGGACATTTTCATTAATAAAATGGAGAAGTCGGATAGTAGGTATGATGCTCATATCTTCAAACTCTATCAATTTGTACTTCCGGTCCAGCGGCTTCATCCCTTCGAGGAGAGCCATCAATGTGGCTTCATCGGGGGCGTTTTGAATCTCTAGGGAATCGGCCCGCATTCCAGTCGGAATGCCTTCAACAGGGATTGAAGAGACTTCTGCGCGATTTACAGTAATTCCGCCCAGTAGCAACGATTTGGTTCGCGCTTTAAACAAATCCACCAAATAAAGGTCTTGCGGTGGTTGGTAGCATACAAGCAGAGTGGAATTACTCTTGATTCTGATGGAATAGTTTGCCCAGCCATTCGTCCCGACTTCCGTCATTTTCCATAGTTTTTGGCATGTTCTCGCGTATCGGAATCGTGTCTGCGGATCCATTAGCGTGAGAAATTCGAGAAGACGTCGATGGAATGTCAATGGTAGATTGATAAAATCTACGTCACAGGATGATTCATCCATTTGATTGAGATTCCTAAAAATAGAAAATTAGCAGTTATAATACAGGGTGTCCCAAAAAAAGATTAAACTCCCTGTGGCGGTCCGAAGAAAGGTCGGATCAGGATGATTTTTACACCATTCGAAAGCCCTTGAAACGGCGAGAAACCAAGCGCTTTCGTTTTACGAACTTTTTTGGCCCGTCCTCTACATTTAACGATTTCTTAAAAAATCGCAAAAATCAGCTTGGCTTTGAGCTTTAGCATTCAATTTACATGCGGATTGCCCGTAAAATCTGCAGTTTTCATGCATTTTGATCATAAAATGTATGAATTAAGATGCGTATTGACAAACAAAAAAGCGTTTGTTTTATAGCCTTTCGAAGAGCTTTAATAGATACCTAAATCGTCAAAATCGGACGCTTCTCCGGCCCGCTAGTGGGGTGGGTCGAATTTTTGGGACACCCTGTAGATAGCGAGAACTAAATGGTAGAAACTGAAAATAAAGGTTCAGAACGCTGCCAGGAACAAGCCGACCAGCCTGTCAATCGATCAAAGTGCCCGGGCCGTCTAAAAGCGCCCGCTTAGATAACGGTTACTGAAAAGGACTGTCTAAACACCAAAATGTTCACAGTTGCAGGATTCCTTATCTTTTATGCCCGCGATTTTATGTATAAATTCTCGACAAAAAGCCATTTATTCGAATGTATTGGAGTGGCGGATAAGCAATACAGGGTGTCCCATAAAAAGCACCCCTCCGGCATTTCGCCGTATTACATCGAATCGGTCCCAAAATTGGACCAGAGGTGTATCAGTCCCTAAATCACCACAATCCTGAGTTATGGCCCGCCAGCTACTGTAATTGTCGAGATACAACAAAAATAAACTTTATTGTCCGTTTTTCATCAGGTTTACGTCGGAATCCACCCTTCGAATATTAAGTGAAAATGAAGCGGCAAGAGTTCTTTACCCCTAAAATTTTTTTCCTAAGTAAATTAATTAAATAACCGTTGATTTCAACAATTTTTGTAACCGAAAGTCACCCCCGATGTTAAGCGAAATTAGGGATTCGCAGCCGGAAGTCGATGCAAATCGATGCAAAGTCCAAAAAGGTAGCCAAAAAAGCGTTAAAAGTTGCATAGAAAACGGTATTTTGGCGATAACTCGAAAATTATTGTAGCGATCGGGATAAAACTCAGGATTGTGGTTATTTATGGTCCGAGACACCCTTGTGCAAAGTATGGGATCAATTGGATGTAATACGGCGAAATGCCGGAGGGGTGCTTTTTTATGGGACACCCTGTAATGATGAAACAGACTATCACTATGTTAGACGTTTACGGTAGATACAGATTACATAGTCCGCCCCATGTTGTGCGTGGGCGACCCGAATCCGTTGTCCATCCATTTCCCGTTGATGTTCTTCAACTCGGTAATCGTCATAATCCGAATAAATGTCAATCTGTAGAATTTCCCGTTGCCCCTTCTTCCATTCATCGACCAGCAGATCGATATACGGCTGAATCGAATCATCGTCTTCCTCCCGGGTTCTGACCGTAAATGTGTCGCATCTCAATTCTGACCATAGACTTTGTTCCAGGAACATCGGGAAACGGACCTCTTTCACATTTTCATTCATAAAATGTAGAAGTTGGACAGTCGGGGCTATTGCTTCAAATGTTATCATTTCGTACTTGCATTGTTGTGGCTTCATCTCTTCTAGCAGGGCCAGCAAGGCATCATCCTCTTTTGATTCAACAATACTCAGACGGTCAGTCCGCATCCCGATTGGAATTCCTTCAGCTGGGATTAATTCGATGTCCGCGCCGCTTACAGTAATTCCAGCCAGCAACAATCGTATGGTTCGAGGATTCGCTAGGTACACTAACTCGAGATCTGGCAGTAGTCGTGGGTGACATAGCAACACAGTGGAATCGCGTCTGAAAATGACGCCATAATCTGCCCAGCTATGCACCCCGGCTTCGGTCAATTCCCATAGTTTTTGGCATGTCCTAGCGTATCGGAATCTTGTCCGTGGATCCATTGGGGTCAGGAATTCGAGAAGATGCCGATGGAATCGCAACGGTAAATTGATAAAATCCAGATCGGCTGGTGGTACGTCCATCTGACTGCAAATTCTAAATATTCGAAGGTGGGAGCGGTACTACAGGGTATTCCAATAAAAATACCCCACGAACTCGACGCAGAAATATCGGATCGGAATGATATTTATACCATTCGAAAGCCCTTGAAACGGCGAGTTGGGAACAATCTTCAAAATCATTTTGTAATTTTACAAGCCATTTTGTAAGATTTTCCGGCATTTTGGGCTGGCATATGAGGTAATTTATATTCAACCTTTTTCAAGCAAAATGACCCGAAGTAGCCGTTAATTAAATGCAGGTGACGTCTCTCAATGTTTTTAAATTTATTATAAACAGGCGCATTTAAATAAAACTTGTTTATGAAGCTTAATGCAAACTCGCCGTTCTAAGGGGGCTTTCGAATGGTGTATCTATCATTCCGATCCGATATTTCTGCGGCGAGTGAGAGGGGGTGTTTTTTATTGGGACACCCGTGTACATCAGAACATTTTGAACAGAGAGAAAAAGATCAAAATAAGATACTATAGAGAAATCAAAAATCAGGGCTTTTAGTAAATTTTGACACGGATGTACTTTGCGGCGCGACAGGCCAGGGGAATCGATAAAAATGGCCGGGTCAAGAGAGGCGCCCGCCTGGAAAACGGTGTTCGATAAGGGCTGTCAAAATAGGAAATTCGTCACAGCTGTCATGATATTTAGCGTCGAATTATGAATGCCGCGAACACGAATTGTCAACGGGGTTTTCCGCAAGATCGGAACTGGCCGACGGCTGAGAGGTTTTGCATTCTCTTTTTAGTCCTAGCCAATCGCAGTCCAAATTTCTGATCTAAATAACTGCATGACACCGGGGTTTTTTCACGGTTTTTATGAAATTTTCGAACAGCTCGAGGGCTCATTGCAAAACGTTTCATTCCTCGGCGTCACATTTTCGGGGCTGAAGCAGATGAACGTATGTAACTAACGTAACTTACAAGAACATATGAAAAACAGATAAGCGTTACCCGAAAGAAGCCTGAGCATCTTTACATAAGCATGACGAAAATGGACACTATATTACGGGGTTATCAGCTCTTCTGTGTGCATGCTCCAGCTTTAAAATCTCAACCCACTTTGCTTCGGTTGCCTTCAAAGCATTAAAAAAGAATTTGTATTTCTTTTTTCGGGTTTCTGTGGTAGGGTTTAAGCGGGGTTTTTTGGGTGCTCAACCTTAATATTTTCAGCCTTTTTAATTCGAAAATTCATAAGCTCCAAACTCGAAACCTCAAAAATTTTTCAGGCTTTTTCGTCAAAAAATGGACTATATTAAATTTCGGCATTATGAAATGCTGACATTAAAAATTTGTAAATTCGTAAAAATCTCCTTTCACTCTTTTTGAAAACTTTCAAAATTATGAATTTTTTGTTAGAAAATTACGACTGCGACTGGTCCGAGATGAAATGTCCGCGAATTAGTTTCTCCACCGAGGAGAAATAACATCTAATCCAACCATATATCGATCTGCTGATAGCAGAATGGAAGAAGGGAGAACAGGAAATAGATGAAGTCAATTTTACTGGAAGGCGCAGATACGCTCGAACCGAAACACGTAGACGCGATCCCGACGGAAAATGGATCAGCATCGGGAACAAGCGACGCCGGGGTATGTAGGTGTTGAGAGAAATCTAACCCTGGATCGATCTAGTATAATACAACTTTGTAGAAAGTTTTTGGGCTCTCTGTCTGTCTCTCTCTCTCTCTCTCTCTCTCCCTCTCTCTCTATCTCTCGCTCTCGTCTTGCTCTCTCTCTCGTCTTTCTCTCTCGTCTTTTTTTCTCTTTCTCTCTATCTCTCTCTCTCTATTTCTCTCTCTCTATCTCTCTCGTCTTTCACTCTCTCTCGTCTTTTTCTCTCTATCTCTCTCTATCTATCTATCTATCTCTCTCTCTAACTTTAACCATATTTCTTTCCTGCATCATATTTTTGATCGAATAAATGGATAAACGTTCTAAACTCCCAAAAAATGTTGTCATCTTACTTCTTACATGAACGCCGGCGGATGAAAAGTAGATAAGCGTCACCAAACACTTCGCACCCTTTAAGAGGGAATTCTTTTCACTATTACATGGCGTTATCAATTCTTCTATGTGCTGTTGACACCTCTGAAATCTCTTAAATCGTCTCCTTCAGCGCCCAAAATTAACTAAAAATAGTTTATTTCCTTGTTTGGGCAATGCCATGTCGTTTCTGGTCCAAAAATTCTTAAGCTTTAGGCATGTCTTTATTGCTGCCAGTTCCGGGGTCTAAAAAATGGTAACGAACAAATAAAAATCCTATAACATATCCTTCCTCATCCGATGCCCGGCGACGCTGTTTTCTTGTGCACTGAAATCAGGAAATTATCAACTAAAGCCAGCTGCCGAAATTCTACTCTGTCCACCCATTTTCGGGACGCTGCCGCAGTTTGGCAACCTTTTTAAACCTTGGCTATCGGCTCTCAAGGTTGTCTTAATGGCAATAATTCATTTTATTATAACAAGCTAGGGCCTAGAAGCGAAAGTCTAAAGTCATGGCTGAAACCAAAATATTCTAGAAATTTGGCCAGCCCTCTGTCGGTTCACCCATTTACCCACGTTCACAGGTACCATTCGAATTGACCATCTTCACCTTCTCCATCGGATAACACTTCGATCCACACGGCACCTGACCGTCTATCGGACATTCTAAAAGTCAGTTGCATACAGTTACATCACCTGAAAAACAATGGGGAAGAGCCGCCATTTTTCAAGATATTGACCTTGCGCAGTTTTATGTTGTCAAAGCCCTACGGCACAAAAGCGGCGAAACCTTTAAAGCGGCAACGAAGTGCAAAATATCAGACCCGTTGGGAGGGGCCACTAATTTCTAGCAAATTGCCAGCGGCCGCTGCGGGACCAGAGCCTCATCCTTTGGATTTTTGCGCGAAACTGTTTCCCCCGATTTATTGGTGAAAACACTATGACTTGTAGATTCTGAGTTCATTTCTGAAATCCTCACTCAGGTTTAAATAGTTTTGGCGTTTTAGTCATCAAATTTGGCCCAGAAACAGCGAGAAGATGATTCAGTAGGTGGCGACGGGCAATTTCAAATTTGCGAGCTTCCCAGCCCCTTGGGCCCACAGAGGCCTTCGACGTACCCGCTCTGGTTTTCCGGCCTTTTTTTGGCACTTCGTTGCCCCTTTAAGGCACTCCAATACTAACGTTCCATCTACCCTACCCTCAAATTCGCATGTCATACGCTGGGTCAACGGACCAAATTCTATGTTCATCGGCCGATCGCATGGCACACAAGTATAATCGGCACCAGGCACATGACTAGTGTAGCATGCGATCAATTCTTCGTTTTTTTGCTTCGCCATCTCATGACAATCATCCGATGGAACGAAAAACGCTGGAAACGGGGTTGCAAAATCATCTTCGCGGCCTACTCGCTCTCCCCTCCCCACCCCCGCCACCCCAGAGGAAACACAGGGGGACAAGGGAGGGGGGGGGGACGGACAGAGTTGCTTTTCGAAAAGTCATCTTTTCGAAAGTCGGTTCGTTACAGAATTTCAAAAAACTTTCCGGCTATTAGTCGGCAATGGCTGCTAATCTTTCGCAAATTTTGATTTTTGAAAAACTATTTTTCGAAAATAACCTTTAGGAAAAGCCTTCAATATAACATAATTGCTACCTTTAATGGTGTCTAATTTGACCAATGGACAGCGCTTGTCGTCCGTAACTTTCTGAATGGTATGATACGGCAGGCAGAGGAATCTACGGTTCTTCTCACATACCAGGCATGGGTGATTACCGGATGGGCACCCTAAAAGTTTTCGAAAGAAATCAACAAAAGATATTTTCGTAATAAGTAATCTTATGCGTAACAGGTAATGGGCACCTTTAATATTTGACCTGGAGCTATTCGCATGAGCTTCGTCGGACTTCTCCGCTTCCGCGGTAACGGAGCAACACTCAAAATATTTCCAGACCCACCTGTCAGGGTACAAGTCTTCCAACTTCCATCATATCCAATCAAAGGACCATCTCGATTTTTCGTCGTGTTTATCTCCACGCAAATCGGATCCTCGTGCCTGGCGCAATTTAGCGCCGTGAGCGGACAAGCTGTAAGAAATCGGGACTAATGCGCGGGGTAACTTATCAACGTACCGGCGTGGCGCGGGTCTATAACACATTGTGTGGCATTTATCACTTTAGTCAATCTCTCATATGGTATACAGCTCTGCTTCTTTTCTCCATCGAGACACGAATGATGGCCGGGCAACTCGGTGCATTCTGAGAGTATACAAATGTTCATTTAGCTATTAGTAGGAGTAATTTTATCACATCGACGTTTTTTATTTTCGGATCTGTTGAAATCAGTGTACGTTTCCTTTCGGCACTAAAACACTCCCCTCTCTGTCCCCCGACGATTTTGGAGAAAGGCAAGTATACCGTTAGAAAGAGCGTTCAAAATGCAACCTTCTCAACGGCTTGAATCAATTCCATCAAGCTTCTTTAGGCTGCTAGCGCGGTCAGAAAAAAACTTCTCGAAATCGTCCGCCGTGTTCACAACCTCGAAGAAATGCTACCAAACGACCCCCAAATGAGTTACAATCGGATTGGCGCCGAGTTGTGCGAACTGCTCGAAAATGATGTTCATCTCCTGATTCGATCAAAATAACCTAGTTCATGTATTGCGGTCATTGGCAAAAAGCACCCCAGACAGCACCCCACAGAGCACCGCAAAAGGCACCCTTGGGGTGCTTCCGAAAGCACCCCGGGGTGCTTTCTGGGGCACCCCCAAGGGGGGCTGGGGTGCTTTCTTTTCCACCCCGGGGTGCTTTTTGGGGGCACCCCGGGGTGGTTTTGAAAGCACCCCGGGGTGAAAATAGAAGCACCCCGGGGTGGGAAAAAAGCACCCCGGGGTGCTCTCTTCGGGGTGCTGTCCAACACTAGTCAGGCAGCGCTCAAACTATTTCCAGACCCACCTTTCAGGGTACAAGTCTTCCAACTTCCATCATATCCAATCAAAGGACCGTCTCGATTTTTCGGCGTGTTCATCTCCACGCAAATCGGAGCCTCGTGCTTAGCGCAATTTAGTGCCGTAAGAGGACAAGCTGTAAAACGAATCAAGTATGCCGCGCGTCGACACATCAAAAGCGCTGAAGGCAACGTACAGGCGTGGCGCGGGTCCAAAACACATTGTGTGCCATTGATCACTTTAGTCAATCTCTCATATGGTATACAGCTCTGCTTCTTTTCTCCATCGAGACACGAATGATGGCCGGGCAACTCGGTGCAGTCTGACAATACACAAATATTGAATTAGCTGATGAAAGGTGTCATTTTACTGAATTTTCTAAAACATCGACATTCGTCCGAAACCCCAAAGGGAATTTTTCCAAAAGTCAAGATTTGCATATGTTCTGGGGTACAGAACGGAGTTATTTCGCATTATCCATGAAGTACCTGCACACTAACCGGATGATATCTGAATGGCCTACCCTCATGGATACACCGCATCGTGACATTATCGTAATCGACGAGGGAAGATTGTGGCACACAAACTGGCTCATTTACGCCACAATCGCAATCACCGGCGGAAGGACAATCTGACGCAAACCGTTCCCATTGAAAGTTGCGTTTGGCTCTCACCCTCGCTCTCTCTCTCTCTCTCTCTCTCCTCTCTCTCTCTCTCGCTCTCTCTCCTCGCCCCTCTTTCATAAGCCAAATCTCCAAACTAACCGCCCAAAATGAAGTTATCAGGTATTTCGCCAGAGATTCGATCGAACGGCACACATCTCTTCGTGCCATTACCAAACGATAGTTCGGCTTTTCCTTGGGGACAACCTGAAAGTTCGAAATTAGTTGTTTGCAAGCTTTAGGACGGCATTGAAAAATTGATTTTCAATTCTCGTATTTCGTATTTTCGATAAAAATAATTTTCGAGAATGATATTGAAAAACCGGACCTATCATGGTACATATGGACGGATCTTCATTTGGGTCGAGCAGATTCTTGAGAATAGACAACCATTCAGACCTATGACCTCGGCATAGACGACTATCGGGGCCGACGGTAGGAATGGGCGCCTCGGGAATAATAAGCAGCCACCAGAGTCCATAGACACAGGCTACGAGTGCACAGAGAACCGCAATGATATATATGAACCATGAAATACATCCCCGAACACGTTTGATACGAGGTTTCCTGTCTTCTCTTGCTTGAAATTCTTCTCTTTCCTCAGCAGCTATTTCTTTCTGAAAACTATATTCGGTTAAGAATCTTTTCGCGCTCCCTTACAAGCAATTTATCCTCTTCATTCGGCGAACTCGTTTCGGCCACTATTTGCGACGGTTCCCGGCGAGCAGGAGTTTTTGGCTAAATATGTGTTTCACATGCAACAATAATCGTCTTAAAGCGCAGGTTCAGGGAGGGGCCGTGTACTCGTCCCAACGCGTACACCCTATGGACGTAGGGACTGCGCGCACTGCCTGCCCGTGCCGTGGCAGGCAATTTCCCTCCTTCGGGCGTGGGGCGCCCCTCACCCCCTCGCGGGGTTGTACCTGTGGCTGACTGGTATCCATCCGCGCCTCCCGAACGGGGGGTCCGGGTTCGACCCTCGCCCGCGGCAAAAATTTTTGCTTTTTTCCAAAAAAAAAAACCTCCCTGAACGTGCCCTTTAAAGGGATACGCAAGGTTTTGGCAGCAAATATATAGTTATGTATTCCGGGCAGTACAAATGACGCCCGAATTTTGTGCGTATGGATTGAATGGATATGTATGGATAGAATTTTGTGCATTCTGTGTGTGTGGATACCTTTCCCTCTTGTGGCGTCCCCATCCCCAATGGCTTGCCACTATGGCCTAATCGATTGCATCCAGGCCTACAAACGGGGGGTCTCAGGTTCAACCCCCCGCCCGCGGCATGGTTTTTGCTTTTTGACCCTCGGAAAGGGAGAGCATCCCTTTAACTATAGTTTTCAAATCTATCGCTATGGAATGGGGCCGAAATTTGGCAATAGGTCAACATTTTATAGCCATGGATTGTCTCGTCCTCCATTATTCGACTCCGTATTGTGAAATGGTCTTCATAAATACCTGAGAGTTGTCTGCGACAGCCAGGCTTCCGATATCAATAGCTGTAAGGTCGATATAAATAAGAAAGTGAAGACAGTAACCTGGCGGGCCTCCCATCAATTCATCGCCACTTTCCTCGCTATCCTGCAGTACTGGTTATAAATCAAATAGCTTTTTTTTGATGATTTCATAAAAATAATTTTACTATAGTGCTTCAACACCCAAAATTTATCACCCGGTTTCGCAATAATCCGCGTGAAGACGATTTACCAACCGTTTCTGCCAGGGGTTCCTCTTCGTCTTCTCTTGCACCAACTACCCGCCATGGGCGACTGCCACTTGCGTGACCTGCCGCAGTAGTTGGCTGGTTGGAACGGAACAGCTTATAAAACGACTCCTAAATTCTCTAACCTACTCCTTTAATTAACAATATCCACCGTTTTTATCAAATTTGCGGCGTCAAGTGCGTCCGTAGCAGTTGGCCGACCTCCCGGCTCACGCCGGGTGCATCTAAAATGACAACAGCTCACGAACTCTAATAGAAAAACTTTTGAATGAGGTCGGCAATAGAACCACGGCAATCCGCTCTTTCTATTGGGGGACCTTGACGAATATGCGAATGGAGAATGTCGAGGTTGCTGATGGTATGAAAAGCAATGCCAAAAACAAGCCATTAGAATGCACAGGTCTAATTCCTACCGTCTTTCGACACATTCCCAAAAAACAAGCCCGGAGGAATATATATCGCTGGCATAGCTGCGCTAAAAAAAGTCGAAAATCGTATCAGTATCGCTTGTCACAGTTTTTTCGACCCCGTTTTTTCGATGCCATATGAAAGAGCATGGAGGAATTAGTGGGGCTGCATAGTTTTGAATGTTTAAAAAGTTCATTTTTGGGGTTTAAATGGCCGTTAAAGTTGGCTACCTCGAAAAACTATCTCGAAAACTACCTTACCAAATTTGCTGAAAATTTGTGAAAATACATAATTTTGGGCGGGGATCATTTTTCTAATGCATTTCAAAACACGAAAGTGGCCGGAACATCGGAATCTCGCGTACTCAAATGCGTTTTTGAAGAATCACTATTTAATAGGAAGTCGTCGCCACTCCAGAAATACACTTAAAAGATGCGCAATTAAATTCTACGTCGAATGTTGTTTTTCAACTTGTCACTGTTGAGGCTTTCGCCCCCCCCCCCCTCCTCTCCAAACTAAATGTCGAAAGTCTCGGGATGCCCGGTTCGACGAAATACATACATTTGCCTCATCAGCGAATATTTCTGGCGCGGTATAGCGGAGAGTACCGGAACGGCCAAAGCTGAAAGTTATTGGGATAAGGAAAGATCGAGTAGATGAGGCCTGGTCCACAATAGAAAAAGCGAAACGGAAACGCAATGCTAAAATGGACGAGAGGGAGATTGGGACCAGGCTCAATTATAATTTAAAATTTTGGAACTAAAACCATATGTATACTACATGACATGCGCCTCATCGACTCACTTTGAAGGGTCGGTTAGCTCCGATTTTGATAGCCCAAAGTCGCAGAGTTTTAATTCATATCGTTGCCCAAGCAGGATACTAAACATTACAAAAAGGAATTGGTTTGAACTCACTTTTCGGGCTTAATATCACGATGGAAAACCTTTTCGCTTTCCAGATATACCAATGTGTCAAACATTTGGCATTTCCAGTCGACGACAAGTGAAATCGAATATCGCAGTTTTTTCTTGTAGATAACTATAATTGCGGTAAAATCCAATGCTGCACTAACATTTTTTCAGGTTCCCCCGTTCGTAATATGCTGTAACAATATTGGAGGTTCGCCCATCGTCCGTTTCGTAGAGTTCGATATATTCCACAATATTTGGGTGACCGAGACTTTGAAGATTTTTGACTTCACGGCGAAGGTGCCGCGGATCTTGAATCCCATTAATACGCTTGGTGGCAACATTTCTAGAATGAAAAATCTCATGGAGCCCATTTGCATGCATAGCTAGCCTTCTTCTTCTTCTCCCTAATCTTCGCCAATTTCATCTAGTAAATGTAACATACCGATTATTCCTGAATTCGAGATATACAGTGCCGAAACTGCCGCCACCAAGTACCCGGATCAGTTGACTAGTTGAGGCCATAATTATGCTTTTCCTGAGGAAGTCGAGCTCGGCATGGGGCCATTCATTTAGCCTCGCTCTTATCAGCTCGATCAATTTAGCGCGAGCCGGAGGCGGCCCCTGACGCCAGCCAAAATCAAAATTTTGTGCGTGATATTGTGGCTCAACGCAAGAATAACGGAAACCGAACTTCGCACTTCCCGTTTTCATCCAGGCAGCACCAACATTTCCACTTTTCCGGGACATTCCGCAATTCCGATCCATTTATGACGGGAAGCTGTGGGGCGAGAATTCTACCCCTGACTGGCACTGGCGGACAGCTATCGGAGTTCACAGCAACATTTTCAACTCGAATCTGCGACGCGCCCCTTCAACAATTTGAAGTTTGCTGTGGATCAGCGCCGACCCGCAGCGCGGACGTGGGAACGAGCGGTCGTGCGCACGAACATTAGAAAAATATATCTACGGGACTTCATTCCAGTACACCGATCAAAAGGCTAGCAAAAACAAGAATTCATCTATATTACTTTGTCAGTAATCGGGTACATTTTCACAAGTGGGCACGCGGCTTTCCACTGCGTCGTCCATGCATAGCAGCCCGACGTTGTCATCAACAACGTAGGTGTCGTAGGTCTCGAATTCACTTTTCTCGCTGGTCACCTATTGGTTTGGAACGTAAGTCTCTGCGTATTTTCGAGCTCAATTTTCGTGCGGAAATCCTAACTTTTTTGATGTGTCCTATATACCATTAGAAAGAGAATTTTTTGCTCTACAAGGCTCCAATAGCCGCTTATTTTAGAGGCGTTACTTTCGCATGGATTTGGGGGAACGAAGTATCGGCGAAAATGATTTCAAAGGATCGACGACCGCACCATGCAAAATTTTTCCTTACCATAATTATCAAATTCAATTTGATTTATTATGTACTCACTCAGTAGAACTACAGTTTGCCGCCAAAGATTATCAGGTTTATGGATTCGTCTACGCTAAACCCGGGCTCAAATTATCGCACCAGACATTAGTTCTCCTCGGTTGATGTTTTTCCATGAAAATTTCATGCTAGCTCTGTTTGATTTTGAACGTTGTAGTTTTTTTTCAATAAGCAGAAAAGTCGAGCACGAGCTTGGGATGTGCTCATAATTGTTTTTAACGCACAATTTAGCAAGTGAAGGTAGGGCGCATTTTGGTCAATTTTTCGAACTGCTAAAATTACTGAAAGACTATTTAGAAAATAAACTAATTACATGAAAAAGTAGAAGAATAAAAACTCTTTCGAAACCCAAAAAGTCAACTGTAAAAATAATTAGCGATCGTGCTCAAAATCGAGCTCAAAGGAAAGCGACGATTTTCATTCTAACCCATTAATGTCGAGCAATGTAATCGTAGAGAATAAACTAATACCAGTTTCTGATAGAGAAAAGAAAGCTCTTTTGAATGATATATAACACTTGGTCCAAAGTCCACGATTAAGCCAAGCAACGAGCTTTGAAAAAAGCGCAGAGACTTACGTTCCAACCCAATAAAAAGAACTGCTTCTCAAGTGTCGCGACATTATGGCCGAGGTTTTGATACCCATACGCTATTCGCGGCCTGCTAAAAACGAAAACTCGCAAAAAAAATTTGGGGTATCTAATGGAAATTAAAAAGAAAGTCGGGGTGCCCTTACATAGTGATAATATACGTGAGCTGTGCGATTTTCGATCCTGGAAACAGCATCGCCTAGAAACGTGTTGTAATTCGGCCACGTCTCCAGCCACATCCGTTTCTGAACGTGCGGGACGCAAGGTTGTATGTGATGCCGGTGTAAAATTTGAGATCGACAAGCGCCGATCGCTTGAGCACAGCTAGAATCAATAAGAAATGAATAAATTGATCACAACGATCAAACCTTGCGCAAAAGTCAGTGCCTCGTAAGTGCGCATCGTAAAGCAACCGGTCGGTGCATTGGCGTTGGAGCAGTTTTGGGTTTCCGACTAGGTCCCTAATATACTTGGGCAAATGGCGACCTCACCAAAAGCATTGCTCCGTAGGCATACGCCAGTATGAAAGGATCGCAGTCTCTCCGGCACGAGGTTTATATCGATGAGACAGGCTGAAAATGAATTATTTTTGCTCGGCAACGCCTTAAAAAGGTCGGAAATTCGGTCGACTAACGCCGACTCACGTGCGCAGATATACTTACAGGTTGACATATCGATTGTAGAGGTCGAGACATTCCTTTGAAGTGTCAGTTTTCTGGTCGCTGAACTGCTGCTGACAGATGTTAACCACATCTAATAATGGAAATTTGCGCAACTTAAAGCGCTTTTTGAAGCTCAAATAAGAACTGGGAAGCGGGCTTTTACCTTGTCCGTGCATCAAATTTTTCAACGTGATTTCCCCGTACTCTCCACAGCGCGGTATTTTCACGCATTCTTGCATGCGCGAAGGCGTAAATGGGTAATTGGTTTGATTGGTATAGAAAACGCTGGCAAGCTCGCTGAATGAATAGTCTATTAAAAAAAGCGCGAGAATGGCAATTTTTTGCTTCATTTCAAAACGCCTGGTTCCAAAAGACGGTGCCTGGATCCCTCTCGATTTACCTTTGAAGTTCGTATCCAAGGGGGGCGTGAAGGAAGATATTTCACTCAACACTTTGTCTTCAGGCTACAAAACGACTTCCCGGTCTGCGTTGGGCCTCTAAAATGTCTATAAAGACGAGACGAGTGTAGTTTTCTTTCGTAGGGTAGGTCTTTTTCGCAATTTATTGAATTTGCCCAAACAGGACAAAGAAAATGCAAAACCATAACAGGAAGACAAGCCGAAATGGCCTTTCATGGTATTTTTGGCGACTTTAACTCTATCTACTGAAATTTTAATCAGGGTGTCCCAATCAAAACCACCCCCTCTAACCCGACGCAGAAGTATCGGATCGGACCGATAGCTATACCGTTCGAAAGCCCTTGACAAGGCGAGTTTGCAACAATCTTCAAAACCATGTTTTTCTTTAAACCAGCGATTTTACAAGTTAGATAGAGTGGGTGTTTTTTATTCGAAACCCCTATACATAAATACGCAGTAAACTTCACTCGGCAAACGTTCTTTCAATTTTTCAGACCTTTATTTTTTTAGAGCAGCACCACACCGAAAAACGGCTGTTTCGCGGATGAACGGCTGCCAGCTTGACGATGGATGTGTGGCTTCCAAACACCCACTAAATTTTCTGGACAAATAAATGGGTGGTTTGGCAGGCAGACAGAAAGAAAAGCAGAACGAACCGATAGACAGACAGACAGACAAACATCCCGGTTTACCCAGAAATTATGCCCGAAATTCTGGATCCAGGAATGCAGCCACCAAATAAATATTGCCACCCAGACCACGTATATTAAGCGAGGAAGTGACGCGCACAGTTTTTTGGGGCGTTTCACATTGATTTAGCTTTTTTAATTCGTTAAAAAATCGTGAAGTCACACTATTATAATTTCTGAAAAATTTAAAAATGCAGAAAAACCGTGAAAACACAAAAACGATATTTAAAAATAATCTTAGTAAGTTGTATTTTCATCCGCAAGTTTTTTGCAAGCGCACAAGCTGGATATTATGCAATTTCGGGATTTTTGGTAATGCAACCAATGCAAAAAAATGAAAATGGAATTTTATGCATTTTCGCATTTTTCTCTTTTTTGGGCGATGTTCTTAAATACTCTAAAATCAGTCGTATTTATCGTGAATTAACAATGCCGTGTTTTCATCGAAACACCCTTGTTATTCCGGCTTTTCCCTGCGAATCCTTCCATTCCGATTCATTTTATGACGAGAAGCTATTGGGCGCGAATGTTGCCCTTTTTGCTGGTGGAATACTTTGACTGGTCGACAGACTATCGTAATTCACATCGAAATTGTCAACTGGAACATCCATTCCTTTCCTAGAGAAAGAAAATGACGGAACGCATGCCGATTTTTTGATTTGTCTTCTAAAATTAAAACAATTCGATTCATTTCGGCAAATTGCGCTCAATGATGCCATTTTCTCCATTTTCGGTTTCATCTGCTGCTTTTTGGCGTGCAAATAGGCGTGTGAAAAAGGATGCGTAAAAAATTAAAATGCCTTTTTTTTTAATTTTCAAAAGCATTTCATTCATTTTCAATTTTTTGTATTTAGCTACTAATGATTTGCTCAGTATCGATATCATTAATTTGCTTAAATTACGGGCACTGATAGCGTACGCATTAATAGCATGTTAAAACATTTAGCATTTTAGTCGGTCTTACCTAATGCAAAGATACCGCAAAAGGGCATAAACTAATAGGAATTACTTCAAAGCCTCCTGAGACCTATTAATGCATTAATTGGCAACCAGTTGAAATTTTCATTAAGTCTGGAAGCCCTAATTTTGTAGTATACCGGATTTTAACCCTATCACCGTCCTCCTTTTTATCTGTTATGACGTTTCTCTACCGTCCCTAATCACTTCTTTGCTTTAGCGTGGGTGTGTTTCTATGTACTTGCCCTCGGGGTATCTTCTCTATTTCTCTCGATTCTACCCACTCTTTCTCCCTTTTCTGCCTACCAGTCTACCCGCCAATCCACTGATTACGGCCGAACGGAAGTGGGGGGAACGGTCAAAAAAGGGGTGCGATCCCGGCCAAAATGTGCCGGTATTTAACGGGTTGCTCTGGGGGTATTTTCGTCAATTTTAATAGTTATAGTTCCGCGTATAACGTCGGAAATAAGGGGTTCAATTGCCCCGATTCCTGCAAATCGAATCCTAAGCGCTTTTCCCATGGTTTATTGACCGCCCTGTGCGCCATATGTTTTCTGGAAATTCCCCAAAATCTCGACTTTCAAGCGAAAAATTATTATTTTAGATGCTTATTGCTTTTTAGTGACGTCCATTTTACTTAACCCCACATCAAAAAATGCAAATTTTCAGATTTTTAAGGATGGAGACACAGATCTTGCAAATCGGCCTCCTGCTGGCCATGGGCGTCATATCGGCCATTTTTGGGTTGCTTCCGTTAAAGGTACGGTAATGAAAATGTCGACTAAAATTTGAAAAACTCGTTAGAATCAATTAAGATAAAGATCACATTTACTCGCGTAATTTAAGCTTTTTTTTCAGCTCCGTACCCTACCTGCCTTCTCGATGCAAAATTCCCCGCTGATGTCGCTGGTTACATGTTTTGCTGGCGGTGTATTTTTGTCTGTTTGTCTACTCGATATGCTGCCCGAAGCGTTGTAGGTTTTTTCATGGGTTTTTAGCGCAATTAAAGGGACCGGGAAGACAAGAATCGGCCCCCTACAACCACTAGGTCTAGACAGCTACACGAAACATCTAATGACGGGTCCAAACTGGCTTGGATAGATCTTAGGGACAGCGAAGATGGGCATAATTTAAAAGCGCCTCATCTGTCATTCGGAATATCGTGTAGCTGTCTAGACCCAGGCGGTAGAAGGGTAGATTCTCGCCCTTTTCAGTGCCGTGAAAGTGGCTCTTTTGTACCTAATCAATCCGACAAACCATGGATTATTGTTTTTGTCTTTTTTTAGTGAACAACTCGATAAAGTGAATGGTCGCTTGAAAGACTTCCAATTCGGCAGTTATTGGATTGGCCTTCTGATGGGTGTCGGTCTATTCTTCGTGTTGTTTGTCGAATTCGTCACCAAACTCATATTTGGGACGGCTGGACACTCACATGGACCACCACAACCTGCCAAGTAATAGAAAGAGGGAGAGACAGAGAGAGAGAGAGAGAGAGAGAGAGAGACGGTGATATAGGATATGCTAGACTCTGTTTTTAGAGTACTCCCTCGCGTCTCTTCCGGCCTAACCTTCCAAGAAGAGCTCGAAATCAATAAGGAAAAAGCTGAAGGAAGTATCGATAGTTTGGTAGGTTTAGACTGGGTTTTTGTGACTTTAGAGGGATGGTGAAGGCAAAAATAGGCCGAAAACCCTTCGGCAAAGACGGTTCATATGGCTTCAAGTTTCCCTTGAATTTATCACTTATGAAAACTCAAAATTTTGAATTTTTCTACTTTTTAAGTCCTACTGTGACCCAGAAGGCCCATTCGAGGAAAAGATCGTAAAACGCTGAATTATTTGCCTGTTTCATCTTTTTGCTCTTTCCCCAGCTGCTTAACAATATTTTGTTGATTATTTTCTCTAAACTGTCTACAAAGCTTTTCTAATTACTTAATAGTAAATTAAAACTGACGTTTTTAGCTAAATATAGGCGAGGCGCAGAGTCTGTCTCGGAGTCTTGCCCTGGTTTTCGCCCTCTCAATCCACAGTCTCCTCGAAGGGTTCGCTTTTGGCGTTCAGGTAAAACTCAAATTTATTTTAATAATCATGTAATCAACACCTTAAATTCCTCGGGTATTCCATTGTTTTCCCTAATTCTTCCTTTAGACATCGGTCAAATCCGTCGTTGCCCTATTTTTCGGCATCATGGTCCACAAAGCTGCCGTTTTCTTTGCCGCTGGTAAATTTTTCGAACCCGCATTTTATCAAAAAAAAGTTTGATTTGCCACAAAAATACAGTAAATCTTATCGTCTTCATTTTGCCGGACGTCAGTGTGCTTTAAAAAGCACTACAATCACCCAAAAATCTTTAAAACAATCATGTTTTACATTTTTCGAAAATATCTAGAAATGTGATTTTTTCATCAAATAAAATCGAGTTAAATTTTAGTTTTAAAAGCTAAGATCCTTTTTGAGGTTTCCGTCTCTCCTCTGCTCACCGAATCGTACTCCTGCCCGCATTAATGGTATGCTGGATGGCCGCAATGGCGCCGTTGGGCGGCTTTGCCGGGCTACTCATACAGGTTTGCATTTTCTAATTCCCTGTTTTCTGAATTATTTATTTAACGTAATCCATCATTTTCAGGAACCAGAAGGCACTGAATCCAACGCAAAGGGAGCACTGGTATTAATTCTTTCTTGCCTTTCTCTTGGCACTTTTCTACAGATTACGTTTTACGAGGTAGGCCAGCTTTTAGCACCAAGGTTTTTAATTATAGTCATGTAATTTTCGTAAATTTAATCGGCTTGAAATAGCTTTTTCCGTGTCCGCGAAACACAACGCACACAACTCGACACGCAACGCGATAGATATTATGATACGCAAGGCGAGACGCAACGCGAGACGCAACGCGATACCTAGCGCGACATGCAACGCGTACTACGCGATACGCCATACGCAACGCGCACGCAACGCCATACGTAACGCCATACGCTACGCGCTCGCTGCTATCTTACTATGAAA